AGCATTGTTACACAATTTTTTTTGTTAAAAATAAAATATAAATAAAAATTATTCAGTAAAAATTATTTTAAAAATTATCTTATATGATAATATTAATGCATAGGTGCAAAACCACTATAGGTGCAAATCACTATAGGTGCGTTTTAGTAAAAGTAATTTTTTTAATCCCAGAAATTTTTCAGATATGTTATAGCAGATTTCTGGAATATTTTACAAGTACCAGAAATTTAATTTAGCTAATTACTATGAAAAAACCAATTACCGGATTTTTTATCTTTTATTCAAAATTTTTTAAAAATTTTTTTTCATGCTGGTTCGATGACTGTCTCATTATAAAAAAAACAATATGTAAATAAAATTTTTCTAAATCAAATAATAAATCTAGGAAATTGATATTTTCACACCCTTTTTTGATAATGCCACACCTTCGCCAATCATTCTAATTTTTTAATTTTTCAAAAACTTTAATTGAAGATATCTCGACATATATCTGATCAAATTCATTGAATGTTTTTTTTTTTTAATTATAGAATCTGCTGAATTTAAAGAAAAAAAAGTTCATGAATTGATCAAGTAAATGTCGAGATATCTTTGATCAAAGTTTTACAACAAGCTGTAATGCGGTTTCATACTTAGATATTCAAAATTTACAAAATCTTTGGTCAAGAATAGCTCAACAACTACCTGACTAAATTTGATGAACTTTTTTTTTATTTTAATAGTAGAATTTATAGTATTTAAAGAAAAGAAAGTTCATCAAAGTGGATGTCGAAATAACTTTGATAAAAGTAACAACAATCTGTAAAATTTACAAAATCTTTGGTCGAGGATATCTTAGCAACTGCTTGACCAAATTCAATGAACTTTTTTTTATTTTAATTGTAGAAATTTGTAGAATTCAAAAAAAAAAAAAAAAAAGCTCAACAAATTAGTCAAGTGGATGTCAAAATATCTTCTATCAAAGTTTTACAACAATTTGCAACACGACTTTTATTTGATAGGCTTTAAATTTACAATACTTTGATCGAAAATATCTCGATGACTACCTGACCAAATCTGATGTAGAAATTGTAGAACTTAAAAAAAAAAAAATTGTAAAAATTGGAATGATCGGCAGGGTGTGGCATTATCAAAAAAGGGTTGGAATACTAGTATATGATTTTTGATTTTACATAATAACTAAAAAAAATTTTTAAACTTTGATAAATAAATAATAAATTTCGTAATTTATAAAGACAACGAGTTTCAAGTGTGAAAACAAAGCCTCATTTCTTTGGTTTAGTTATGTTGATATTTTCAAAAAATTGCTGGTCAAATAATAGTGATTGGCGTCGTAATCATGTGATGCTAATTGTCACATAATACAATATATAAAAATAAACAACTAGATTGTTGATTTTTATATATTTTACCACATGACAATTAGCATCACATGATTATGACGCCAATCACTATCAAATAATAATGCTCATATAAACTTTTTATTATTTCAACATTATTTTTAATTTTATTTTTTTTTGCAAACATCAAGAGCTATAATAAACCATCAATAAAATTTTATTCTCTCTTCTGGCAATTTTAATTAGTATAATACTGTATTTATTAGAGATTTATCATAGTAGATTTATCTTGGTGAATATGAAAAATATTAAGATTTAATTTCGCAAAGTTTTTAAATAGTTCTAATGGTTAAACCAATTTCTTAGAAATAAACAACCAACTAAAAAAACTTCCTTTATACTATATAGTTGGAGTTTGATAATTGTTGGAAGACACAAGCATAAGTATTGACATTCTGTTTAATTTTTTTGCTATATAGATATAGATAGGTTTTTGTTATTTATTTATTAGTTTTCTTTTCATAGTACACTGAACTGAAGATTAGAAGTAGTTCAAATTCCTGTTAACTTCGCACCTCAGTTTAAAAACTACTGTTTTTAGAATATCTGTTTATTTATAACGTGCATGATATATAAAATATCACTCTATGTGACATAAGATTTGTTAAATAATGCTATCATGATCATGAATAATTTTCTTTTTCATGTGTTACGTACGTACATGATCATAAATTGCCGGGGTAATTTAGCAAATGATTGGTTTACACGTGCCGCTTTGCGGCACGTGCTCATTTGCCTTATTCGACAATTTTTGCCCAATAATGTATACTTTTATTCTATTGGTCGAAAAATTCATATAAGATCTGAATAGTGAAACGTGAAAAAAAAAAAAAAATTATCGATGGATTTCGAAGATGTACAGCAATTTCCACCATATATACCACCCAAAGGCTGGAAACAGAAAGAAAATTTAAATCAAGAAAAATCAAAATTTGACCTTGACGACATTAATAGCGATGAAAATGAGATATGGATATTCAAACTTCCACCAAATATTTCTAAGAAAGATCTTGTTGGGAAGACACTAACTTTTCCAAAAGGTTCTCCAAAACTTTCGAATAAAGTAGCAAAATTCGAAAAGTCAGTTCAAATAAATAAAAAGAAAGAGGCTACAACTTTAAAATACAACATTCAAGAACTACCGATAAAATTGACTCAAGAATTCGAATTATTATTACCAAGTCAAAGAGACGACGATGAGTTAGTTTTATCTAATAAAAAGCCTGCAAAATTTTTTAATATAACTCGAAAATTTAATCGACCAGATCTTACAAATAATATTGAGGCAATTTTGGAGAATTATCAAAAAATTCCTCAACAACCACAGCACCCACCGGAAACATTCATTCCAAGGTTCATCGCAAATTTTCCTGAATTTACTAATCAACATATAAAGGAAGCCATCGAGGAAAAAGAAAGTTTTGAAAAAAAATTGATAGATGACTGGCAATTTAATAAATGGAATGAAGAAATAATAAAACATATTCAAATCAGCAAAAAAGCTTATCGTGAATGGAAAAAAAATTGTATATTGGAAGTAAATAAATCTAAACAATTATTTGCTAAGAGACTTGCAGAAAAAAAAGTAATAATAGACGATGATCAAAAAATAGAAAAACGAAAATTTGATTCTAATGATGAAATAGAGGATGAGAGTGAATATTCAAAATCCATAAAGAAAAAAAATGATTATGTCAAGAAAAAGGGAAAATCCTCTTCTGCATCTTTTAAAATTTCAGAATATCAAGATTTATTGGATTATGACTCGGATGCTGATATTTTGGCCGAAGTTGCAGAAGAGGAAGCTGCGTTTGCTAAAATGGCATCAGATCAAATGCTTAAAGAAGAAAAGAGAGCTAAAGAGTTGCAAAATGCTGAAAGAGAAGCGACTGAAATATGGACTCCTGCTCTTGTCACGTATCCTAAGTATGAGCCACCAACCACTTGGTGGTCCAAGATGAATGATGAAATTCTCGATGAAGTTGAAAAAATAAAATTAAAACCTTGCAAGAAAAAGAGAGATTGGACGGGGTAGTGGTTGGACCCGTCTGAAAAATCATGACCCGGATAACCCGGCGGGTCACCCGGGTGGATAAATGATAAAATAAAAACCAATTCTTATTCTTCTATAATTATAATATGAAATTGATAAAATATTTGATGAATTGCACAAGAACTATACTAGAACTGATTCATAACATGCCAGTATAATATAATACATTTCTAACTCTTTTAGTTATATTATCTAATTTTCATATCAGATATTTTTCTCTTTCTGCATATACTGTAACAAAATTATTATCTCATGAATATTATTATATGAAAGAATTTTAATTTAAAACTCAATTATAATCTATAGATACTATTTAAAAAAATTGATAAATTGAAAAATGTTGCAGATCATAATGAAATCAGATTATTGTGAAATTTAGAGGTCTCAATTTAAATATATAAGCTCTATCAAAATCTATTTATACTTTTTTCTTAATTCTAACTCTAAATCCTAACTTAACTATAAAAAAAAAAAAAGACTCTGAAAAAATTTAAAAATCATATATAAAATAAGTTAAAATTTATTATAATTTGATTTCATTATAATCTGCCACAATAAGTGCTAAATAAAGTTTAAATATCTATATAAAAAAAGTTGTATTAATTTTTTTTTTTAACTTTTAATCAATAATATTTAACAACTACCTATTTAATTTTAATAAAAATTTTTTTTAATTCTACATATTTACAGAATTAAAATAAAAAAATTTTCATTAAATTTAACTTAATAAAAAATCATTGTTTAAAGTTTTTAAAAATTTTTTTAAAATAAATTTTTTTGTTTAAACTTTAAACAATATAAATTTTTTTTATTTTAATTTTGCGAATATGTAAAATTAAAGATTACTTAACACTTATCTGCTAAATTCAGTCAAAATTCTTTTATAATCTTATAGAATTAAAATAAAAAAATTTGATTGAATTTGATCAGGTAAATGCCAAGTAATCTTTGTTCAAAGTTTAGCCAGCCGTAAAAAGAAGCTACAGCTATTTTTTTTTAACTTTTAATTAATATTTCTCAACAACTACCAATCCAAATCTAATAAAAATTATTTTATTTAAATTCTACAAGCTCATAAAATTAAAATCAAAAAATTTTATTATTGAAAAATTATTATTTAAAGGTTAAAATAAAAAAATTTACCCAATTTTAGTTTTTTCCCCAAGATACTTTAAGTTTTTTTAAAGCTTCTAGCAAAGGTTTCTCAATGACTACCAAACCAAATTCAATAAACTTTTTTTATTTTAATTTACGAAAGTATAGAATTAAAATAAAAAAAAATTTACTAAATTGATCGTGTAGTTATTGAGAAACCTTCGCTAGAAGTTTTAAAAAATTTCAAAATTATAAATAAGCAGATTAGTAACCCGCTAACTTCGGAGATCGATCTGCTGACTCCACTAATCTATTTACTATCGGGAAGGTAGACAGCCGGCGAACATTTTTGAGTTATCTACCCGTCGGGTGACCCGCGTGGGAGACTTTTTAGATGACCCGTTTTCCCCCGGGTGGAGATTTTTAGACGGGTCAAATCACTAGGTTGACCATCAGCTTGAAAATATTTTGAATCTTTGGGGCAAAATTCAGGTGGCCTAATTGAAATCAAAATTAAGATCTAGTCCATCCCAATACTAGAAGCTATCAAGGCACGAAGTGGATACACCACATTGTGGGTCACAATATTATAGTAGGAAAAATGTTTTTTATATGTAAATTTTTTTTTATGTTCGTATTGTATTTAAAACGAGCAAAAATAACGCAGCACGTTATTTTAAATAAGCTCGTGAAAATTTTGGCATATCATAATTTATGACGTGCTGAATATCTGGAAAATCTAACCCTTTGGAAGCCACATCAGAGGCAACCAGAACATCTTTCTTGTATGCTTTGAATGATCGAATTGCAAATTCACGTTCATCTTGGCCTTATTAATACTCAAATAATTAGCAACTATTTGAATTTATTATTTAACAAACAATATATTTATTAAAATACTTACTTTTCCCTCCATGAATCGCAACAGCTTCAACTCCCTTAACGAGAAGGTACTCATGAATATCGTCTACATCATTCTTATTCTCTGCAAATATTAGTACCTACAAAATAGATTTATTTAATAAATAATTGTCCATCAAAAATATACATATACTCTGTAATAATTACTTACAGGAGGTGGAGTTTTCTGTAGACATTCCAATAAATATACAATCTTGGATTCTGGCTTTACATATTCCACTTCTTGAATAACATCCAAATTGGCAGCACCAGCACGACCAACATTTACAATTACTGGTTTAACCAATGCAGACCTTGCAAAATCTTGAATTTTTTTAGGCATAGTTGCTGAATATAGCAGAGTTTGACGTTGATCCTATATATTTAAATAATGAATACAATAAACTTATTTAAATAAAAAGAAAAAGAGACATTGTAATAAAGTCGCATATCCGTACCGTGAAATATGACATTATATTTCTAACATCATCTTCAAATCCCATATCAATCATACGATCTGCCTCATCCAAGCACAAAAATCTACAAAAAATAAAATAAAATAAATCATAAATATACATAAATAAAAATAAATAAATAAATATATACATATATATATATATATGATTAAATATGAACTTACTTGCATAAATCTAAATTAAATTTCCTTTTTTCTAGCATATCCATTAATCTACCAGGAGTTGCAACTACAATGTGAATTCCATCCGATAATGTATTCCATTGTTCTGACATCGATATGCCACCAATACATAAAAGAATTCGTAACTTTGGATAGCCATCCAAAACTAAGAACTCATTCATTGCACAAATACTTTCATATGTTTGTCGTGCTAATTCACGCTAATAATATATTCATATATTAAAATTGTGATACTAAATAATAAAATTTTTATACGATATTAATTAATGACTTTACCGAAGGACACACTATCATTCCTATAGGACCTTCTCCTCTAATTAATGGGAGTTTTACTTCTTCTTCCAAAGCAAACATGATCAATGGTAATGAAAAAGCCAAGGTTTTTCCAGACCCTGTAAATGCAATTCCGATCATGTCTCGGCCAGACAATCTAAAAATACATACTTCACCGTTAATCTCTTACCATAAAAATTCAGAAACTTTAATAACGGTTTGATCCAATCAATCAAGAGGCTTACACCACTGGAAGGCCTTGAACTTGAATCGGCGTAGGTCGGTTAATACTCTTAGATTTTAAATATTTCAATATCGCTGGTGGAAATTTCATATCCTATTTATGAGATTGCGATATTACGAGACTGATAAGTTTAATGCACATTACAACCGTTTGAGTACCATGTAACTTGGGTAATATACGAACCCTAAAGTGTTTTATTGGTGGTGGAATATCTTCACCATCAACAAGAATATGATACCTCTGCCTTATGGAATCATGTTCTCTTTGAGGGGCTTCAACGATATGACGAGGTGGTCTCCATCTGAAATATTTCGAAAGTTATTTTTAGTTATTGAGTAAATTTAAGACATTTTATTCATTTTATTCTAATATAATAGATTGTACATACGTAGTCTTCATAGAGTTTGTGTAAATAATGCCTTTTGCGAGTTCTCGATCAGATGCTAAAAGCTTTTTCTGAGCAACGGCTTCCATTATAGCCTTTTCCTCTTCGAGTTTCTTTTCAGCGTCAGTCTTTACCGAATCTGAAAATATATATATAATTATTACTAGAATCGTTAATCAGTACTGAATATTGAATAAGGCGGTATTGCACATACCTTCCAACATTTTTTGTTTTTTGACCTCTACCGCTTGATCGATCAAACTCACATTGGCTTTGGGACCAGCTTTGTGAGAATCTTCGATCTCTTCGTCTACCTCAGCTGGATTTTGCTGTTCAGGAAGACGTCTCTGGCTTACAAGCTTCTGAAATTTGGCTTCACGCCTTTGTTTGATAGGTATATAAGGAACATAGTCGTCATCGTCATCGAGACCAAAGGTATCGTCGTTTTTTGCCATTCTGACTATCGCTATCAAAAATTTCTAATTACCGAATATCATTTTTAGAATGTACTGTAACACTGATCTACTGTTTCACAATAAATAAGCAGAAACTAACAGCTAAAGAACACGAATCACTCACGTGATTGCCATTTCTACTCGCTATCACTAATTTATATTAATTCGTCACAGCAGATCTTGTATTCAATTATTGCATAAATACGTATCAGAAAGCCTGCAAGATCAACTTCAGTGAATCCCAATATAATAATTATGCTCTTTAGAATTTTTTCGTTTCCATTTCAACAATCCATTGTCACTTTTAATAGCCTAGTCAATCCATGCTTTTACCAACAAGTTCGTGGTGTTACAAGACTTTGGGAACGTGGTAAAGTAAAATATCCACCTTCAAAACCATTCAACAAAACAGCGCGATATAGAAGTATGTTGAAGGTAAAAAAATAATCAAAAATTCAAATAATATGATAGTTGATTCAGATTTATTTGTAATTAAATGATACAAAACTATTTTTATTAACCTTAGGCGAAACGTAAGCGGTTACGGGTGAAGAAGACACCATAAATACCAATATAACATTAAAGAAAACTTACCTAACATGCATATCATGCGTAAATTCGTAAATTTATCTGCACCAATTACATGTTGCCACCGAAGTCGTTTAAATCATATAAATTCCTATAAATATGAGATGATTTTTTTTTTTTTCTTAGTCATAAAACCTGAAAACATGGAGATTTTTAAAATCATAAAAAAAAATATATTACCAATTTTTTTGCTGGTTGTATTAGTATTTGCACCGTTTTTGGGTATCCTTTTTAAAATTACATAAAGGGTGATAATTTTTATAAATATATTTTGTTATATAAAAAACAAATAAATTTTTTATGAATAGTCGTTTCTTCGATTGAAACTAGATGTCGAAAATTCGATTAATAGCATTTTTTCACATATAAATATTGTTATTACGTCATCCTTAACAGTTAATAAAATTTTTAAGTGCATGGTAAAGAAGAGCCACCAACAATACAACCGCAACCCGATACTGTAGAGATCACTGGTGAATTCACGGACAACCCGTTTAGCCGTAGGTATTCAAATATATTTATATTGTTAATTTTTGATATTTCTTCTTTTAATGTTCTTTTTTGTTTGTAGAGGTCATAAATGGTCAAAAGAACAATGTAAAACTAACTTTTGACAATAAGGGTAAAACAAACTATACTATCGATGTCGTCGCTGGAGCTCTGGTTAATAAAGACAGCCCAAATGAAATCTATCGCAACGTAAGTATCATTCACTTTCTCTGTAACACATTAACTTTTTTTTATCATTTTTAAAATAACTTTTATATGTTAAATAATAGTTAACCTCTCTCAGGTACTCCCTCCAAGCACCTGCTATGGATCACGTTGAAATTCCATATTATTTTTATTCTGAATTTCCAACACAGGAAATTGATATTGTTTTATTTGTCTTCTTTTCTGACGAAGTAAGAAATTATTTCTCATTTTGTTACAAAGTTTAATTACATTTACTGACTTTCATTTATTTGATAGGAAAAACAACAGTTTAGAGGTGTTGGATTTAATGGAACGGTCATTATCGTCGATCCTGAACATTCAATATTTGATCTCCAGCTGTAAGTGTTTATTTGGTATGCATTTGATTAATATTACATTTAATATTAATCTATATGATTATCTTGGAAATATGGATTAGTCTTTTCTTGTACGTTTTGCTTTTTGGCATGATTTCGGGTATAGGATACATGATTTACCAAGCATTCTTTGGAGGAATAAAAACTAAAAAGGGCAAGGTATTTTTCTTCAAATCTTTTTTTATTTGCCTTTGTATCTTTAAGCATTTAATTTATTATTTGTTTTATTTATCAGCGTCCTATTATCAAACAAGAAGATGTAACTACGGCTACAAGTTCATCATATGATGAGAACTGGATTCCTGAATCTCATTTAAAACCATCCACAAGATCATCCAGTCGTCTTAAAAAGAAGAATGATTCAAAAAGTGAATAATGTGTGCATTTAATTACCACACGAATAAACAAACTATTTTAGAATAAATTGTTATTTGTTAGTTTTTTTTTTTTTTCTCTTTTGCAAAGTTTTCTATATTTTTCCATAGGTTGTAGATTTTGGTTTAAATAATTTCATTGGTGATTATTTAATAATTAAATAGAGACTAAGGTTTATTTTTAGTATTTAACAAATATACTATTTTTTGCATATTAAATAAAAAAATATATTATATTTTATATAGATAGACATTTTAGTTTTTTATAATTAAATATATAGTAGTTATAGTAATTTTATAGTTTTGAGATAAGTGTTTGCTTAGTAATTAAAAACTCTACATAAAAAATATTATTAATATTGATATATAATATATCCGTAATTAATTCGCACACTTATGTATCGTAAACTATACTAAGAACGAACACTAGTAAACATTTTCATTTACATATTGTAACCTTTTCTGTTTGTGATAGTATATACATTTAATTTCTTTCGTATAATAGATTTTGAGAATTCTTAGGCATTGTGCTATATTGGCAAAAAAGTTAATTCTATCACAAAATATTTGTTCCTAACTTCAAATTTTGGATCGAACACATCGCGAGCAATGATAAAAATATACTACATAGTTTTGGTCAAAATTTTTGGTATTTTTTTTTTTACGATCTGTTCTTTATTTTTTTTATATTCATTAAGATAACTAATATTTATGAACTTAAATATATAGATTTTAGGCCGTTAAAAATTAGACCGAAAAATATTATTTGTTTAATCGTTATATTCACTAATCAAAAAAAAAATTTATTTTCGAATTTATAAACAATTTTTAACAAAAAGCGAAAATATGCAAATCCGAATTATTTATATATATACATGTTTGTAACTTTTACAGTAAAAAATAGTAATTATTAAAAATCTACTGTTCTTTGATAAAATAGAAAGAATCCCGTTCTTTGATAGAATAGATAGAATTCTGTTCTTTGATAGGATAGATAGAATTGTTCGTTTAACCTCCGAAACCGTAAAGAGTACGTCCTTGTCGTTTAAGAGCGTATACTATTTTACCGAAACGAAACCAAAAAATGTTTGTTAATACAAGAAATACTTTAATAAAAAAAAAATGTTACAACAATAATAATAATAACGGTTTTTCAACTCACCAACGTCGAGAGAAGTAACTGTCTTGCGTTTTGCATGTTCCGTATACGTAACAGCATCTCGGATAACGTTTTCAAGAAAAACTTTAAGTACACCTCGAGTTTCCTCGTAGATAAGGCCGGAAATACGTTTTACACCCCCACGGCGTGCGAGACGACGAATAGCAGGTTTGGTAATTCCCTATTAAATTAATTAATAAATTCTTCATTACTAAGGGTCATAAAGAGACATATTTCAAAACGGGTGAATCGAAAGTATTATTTACTTGAATATTATCACGAAGAATCTTGCGATGACGTTTTGCGCCGCCTTTTCCGAGACCTTTACCACCTTTACCACGGCCAGACATGTTTATCGTATATATAAATTTAGAGGAAAAGAGGTCTAGATATTTTTTTTTTAATGTGTATTAAAAATAACTCTAAGATAAGTTTGTTATTTTAGGGAATAAGAATTAAAGAAAGGGGAAAATCCATCCTTTTTATAACAAATTAGCCTGATCAAATAACGCGTTATGATTGTTGTCATTTGTGTTTTGTTGATCTATTATTTCCGCGTTAAACTATTCGGACTCAAAAAAGGAAATCAGATGATCGCGAAAGAGTCATTGTTTGCTTTCTTTCCTATTTAAGACGCGCCTAACAGTTTAATTACTTAGACACGCGTAAATACACGTGTCAAATTTATGATTTAACGCTAAAAATTTCTAAAATGCCTTTTTTTTTTAATAAACAATAAGTATATAGCTTTATTTATATATATATATATATATATATCAATATTGTATATTATAAATTGATATTTGCGTTTAGGTTAAATTAATTACGGTATAATTTTGCCAATATATATATTTATTAAAACTTGTGATTACAATTCAGCAATTCCCGTATATTTTTACTAGGTTATATTTTTTTATTTTATTATATATTTTGGAAAATTTTAACTCTCACCGGGGTGCTATATCTCAAAAACGTACTAAGTAAAAATGGTCAGGACTTTCGAAAACCTCACGAGAACTGAAATCGGAACCTTATATCTAATCTACATTATGTTATATAAAGCACTGAGACTGCACCCTAACCCTAAAAATTCTTAGGCTGGTGAATTTCACTACCGGTGAATCTTAAATAAATTTTTATATTTTATAATATTGTGTTAATGCATCTATAGTGGTTTTGCACCTATTATATGTTTTTATATATTTTTCTAAGGTTTAGGAAGATGTAAAGCATTTTTATTTAAAATATCGCTATTAATTAATTAGCCAGTTTTTAATATAGATAATAAAACACTATAGGTGCGTTTTAGTAGAAGTTAGCAATAGGAATCGACTAAAATCAACTAATCGACTAAATTTTATTAGTCAACTAAAAATAGAAATAATAAACGTATAGACTACAGTAGTGTTGTGTATTATATACGTATGGGAATATTTTAGAACTTTATACAGTCGCATCCTTTAAATGCAAGTATATACTATGTAAAACCTCTCTAAATGCATAATTTCAACTTATAAGAGTTCTATATATTTTACTCTTTATAAATGCAAACACTCTAAGTGCAAAATTTTAATTTTATTCACTATGGTCCCGATGGGATGCACTTAGGGAGGTGTGACTGTAATTCGGTTTGTATTAGCAGCAAGCTGCTATAATGTGGGCCATAATTCCATGTATATGAAATTTGAAAATACTCTAATTTGCGATTAATTTTTTTTTTTAAATTTGGCAGTTATGCCAGTATTTTATTAGATTTGTTATACAATTTGTATATTAAGCTATACTATATATAGTCTACTTTTATTAGGCCACACAAACTTAATTAATTGGTTCTCATAATTTGGCCAGGTCAAATTCAACAAAATTTTGAAAAAAATTTTTACTATATTTATTTAACTGGGTAAACTTTTTTAAATATTGGTAAAAAAATTTTATATGTTTTTTACATATAAAATTTTTTTGAAAATAAAATTAAAAGCTGGGTTGCTGGGTCATTTTTAAAATTTTATGTTATAAGAACCAAAAAATTAATTTTATATGGCCTTAATATTAATTTTGTTAATTTTAATCTAAGTTATAAGATAAATTTTTATAAATTTTTATATATATTAGTTATAGGACATGGTTTTTTTTTTTTTTTTTTTAATTTGGCAGTCTTGCCTCTACTTTATTAGGTTTTATAATCTTATAATATTTTAAAATTAAATATCAAGAGAAGAATTTTTTAAAAGGCTATTTCTTTTGACACCTACTTTACAAGTATTAGCTCACCCAGTTATTCTAAAAATATCTATGTGCAGGATATGTTCTTTTGCAAAAATTCAAAATTTAATTTATATAATAATTTCAATATAATAATTTCAATATTAATCAATAATAATCAACTCTTTCTAACAATTACTTGAACCAAAATTTCCACTAATAGAAAAATTTGTTAGAAAGTTGTAGCCTACTGGCAGTTTGTCTAGAGATTAATTTTTTGCTGTATAGGAACTCCTCTATAATAAGTGTTTGGTATACAAGCCAAGAGCATTATTATACAAAATAACTAGCAAAAAGTACCTTTGTATAAAAAATCTTGGTAAAGAAATAAATACTGTGAATTACTAGTTTTTTTTGTCAACAAAGCTTTTAGATCATTACTTTAAAAAAGAATATGGAAAACAACAAATTATAAGTTACCCTAAAGCCATACTCCTTTTTCTGTCTTAATTGGCTTCTCTGTTATTTATTTTTACTTTCTTGTCAGTCATTAGCAAAATATATAAACATAATTTTGTATAAGTTATTATAGCCCAAAAACTTGTACAAGAATTATGAATTGATACAAAATCTTTCAAAATTTTTAATTACAGAATATTATATAATTTATACAAACAGAATATTAAATAATTTATACAAAAAAACTTTCACAATATTGTACAAATAATAAGCAAAAAAATTTTTATTAAATAAATAATCAAAAACTTACATAATATGAAATATTTTAAAAATTTATATAATATTACAAAATATTTCAAATACTTTTGAAATATTTCAAAATTTCAAATTTACTATATATTACTAAAATATTATATGAATTTACATAATAATTATACTATCATGCACTTCAACTCTTCCCAACAATCATTTAAACCAAAAATCAGACTAAATAAAAAAACAAAATTTTTGTTGGAGAAACATGGCTATGAAGCGGTTTGTCTAGAGGTTAACGTAACTGCTAGCAGAACTCCTCTATTAGTTGACATTTGGCATGCAAGCCAAGAGCATTATTATACAAAATAACTGGCAAGTAGTGCTCTTGTATGAAAAATCTTGGTGGTGTTTGGGATCAGCCCCATTTCCGTCGACGAAGCTATCTAGCTGTTACTTCAAAGAAGAACACAGGGGAAACAACAAATCTTGCATTTTTTAAGTTGCACTCCTTTACTTGGTTAAGTGTTACCTTTTTTACCTCCTCTCGTTTTTTTTTCGTCGGTCTTTCAAAATTTTCAAAAAAAGTGAGGATTTGGCTTACCCCTCCAAAAGATCAGCATTGTTTACATTCCAAATTTGGACGAACTCAGTAGAATGCAACCATATGACATGTTTATTTACGGATACGGCGCTACCTCATGGGAGTCAGATCGGGACCCCAGTTAATGAGATATCCAAAGTTGGTCAGTTAGTTGGAAAGGAAAATATAGGTTAAGGCAAAGCTTTACAATAAAGATATACAACCGTTGCATTTAATATATAATTTTTTAGCCTTGCACAGATTATAATAGTGCATTTTGGTTATGTAGAGAGGTGAAATCTTTCTCGAATTGTTATCTTTTTTCTATAAAATGTTTTTATTTTTTCCTGTTTTTTTCTTTTTTTGGGTTTTTTATTTTTATACTTTATTCATTTCCCCTATTCTTCCTTTTATATCTCCTTTTTAGTCATAGGTCGTTTTCTTTTTTTTATAGATTTTTTGATAAGATAATTCTAGTTTGCCTGCGAACTAGTACAACAGGTTGCATTTAGGGCCGTAAAATAACCAAGTAAAGTTAGGCTTTGAGTTCTATAAATTAATGTATATAGCTCTTATACACATTTTAATAAAAAGCAAGCCACGGCAAAACCCATGAAGATTAAAATAATAATAATAATAATAATAATAATTATACTATAATAATAATTTACAATTAAAATTTTATTTATTAGACTTAATACACATTCATACTATATACAAGTTTATTTTAAATAACTAATTTGCTAATCTATCCTAACCTTATTTCAACTCCTAAACAAACCATAATATTACAATAAAAAAACAAGCAATAAACACCAAAATAGTAAGTCTAAATTATTGCTTGAAGTATTACTATAAAATAGTAGTCAAATATATTACAAATAACTACTACAAGACTGGAAAAAAAACTATAATTTAGAAGAAAAAAGGTAAACAATAACCACCAATCTTAGTAAAGCCAACTATTTACTTAAAAAGATATCTAAAAGAAAAGAAAATTTGTAGTAGTTAAATGTATTCACAAATAAAGAAATAAGACTACTACAAGACCAAAAGGAAAGAAAGCAACAATTTAGAAGACAAGCAATAATCATTAATTCTAGTAGTGCAAACTATTCATTGTCTGAAGCATTATTTAGAAGGAAGAAGAATAGTAGTAGACAAATATATTCACAAATAGAGAAACAAAAACTACTATAAGATTAAAAAAAAGAAAATCTATAATTCAGAAAAAAAAAATATCAAACAATTACTACCAATCTTAGTAGAGCTAGCTATTAACTGAAAAGAAAAATAAAGAATTGTAGTAGTTAAATATGTTTACAAAAATAAAGAAATAAGATTACTACAAAACTAAAAAAAAAAAAAGCAATAATTCAAAAGACAAGTAATAATTACTAATTTTAGTAAATATAAATTATTTATTGCCTAAAATATTACTTAAAAGAAAAAAGAATAGTGGTAGTTAAACATGTTCACAAATAGAAAAACAAGAACTACCACAAGATCGAAAAAAAGAAAACTTATAATTTAGAAAAAAGAAAAATACCAAACAATTATTACTAATCTTAGTAAAGCTAGCTATTAATTAAAAAGAAGAAAGATAGTAAAATTGTTCACAAATAGAAAAATAAAACTGCTACAAGCTAGAAAGAAAGAAAGCAACAATTTAGAAAACAAGCAATAATTACTAATTTTAATAAGCCCAAACCATTTATTGCCCAAAGCATTATCTAGAAGAAAAAAGAATAGTAGTAGTCAAACATATTTACAAATAGAAAAACAAGAACTATCACAAGATCGGAAAAAGGAATACAAGACCAAAAAGAAAAAAAACAACAATTAAGAAAACAAGCAATAACCACCAATTCTAGTAAGCCCAAACTGCTTATTGCCCAAAGTATTATCTAGAAGAAAGAAGAATAGTGGTAGTTAAACATATTCACAAATAGAGAAACAAGAACTACTACAAGATTAGAAGAAGAAATACAAAACTAGAAGGAAAGAAAGCAAAAATTCAAAAGACAAGCAATAACTACCAATCCTAATAGGTGTAAACTGTTTGTTGCCCAAAGTGTTACTTGGAAAAAAAAAGAATAATAGTAGTTAAACATATTTACAAATAAAGAAACAAGAACCACTACAAAATCAGAAGAAAAAAAAATCTATAATTCAAAAGAAAATACCAAACAATTACTACCAATCTTAGTAGAGCTAGCCATTAACTAAAAAGAAAAAAAAAAAGTTGTAGTAGTTAAACATGTTTATAAATAGAGAAATAAGACTACTACAAACTAGGAAGAAAAAAAGTAATAATTCAGAAAATAAACAATAATTACCAATTTTAGTAAGCCCAAACCATTTGTTGCCTGAAGCATTATCTGGAAAAAAGAAAAGTGATAGTAGTTAAACATATTCACAAATAAAGAAACAAAGACTACTACAAGATTAATAGAAAAAAAAAAAAAAAACAATAACTACCAACCAAAGTATGCCCAAATCATTGTCTAAAGCATAATCTAGAAGTGGTAGTCAAACACATTTACAAATTGAAAAGTAAGAACAAGAGTAATAGTACTTACCAAGAATTGGAAAAAAAAACTCTAATTTGTAAAAACAACTACCAATTCTAATTGTAATTTTGAAAGAAAAAAAAAAATAAATATATATGTATTAACAATAAAATAAGGAAAATTAAATAAAATTAAAATAAAATAAAATAAAAAGTCTAGGTGCCTAACTCTTTACAGACAAGGTCGACGGTTCAATTATAGCTGGTGGTAATTAATTTAATTAATTATCTCTGTAACCTTCGGGGGCTTTTGAATGTGAAACCCTGTGGTGGTAAGATTATATAAAGTACATATTTGGCCGATAAAGAATTTTTGGAAGGAGTCCTGAGCCATGAAGAAGATCGGGCATATGTGTAACATAGGTCACAAAAGGTAATATTGCAGAAGACTGTGCATATGAATTTGTGATTGGCAAGGTAGTACCAACAACCCTAAGGCGGCATTGGAATCTTGATTGGAAGGACGGCTGTATGCAATATATCCAGAAGTGGTGAGAGAAGTGGTGAACATAGTAAAGGGCTGTGGTAAGAGAATGGCTTTACCAAATATGGAACACCTCTAGCACAAGGAAACAAGAAAAACCAGTTAAAAGAAATATTAAAGCATGGAAGCAAGCGCTCCAGTGGTATGAAAATAAAGTCAGCCAGTGAGTAATGTGTCGCACAACCTATATGGAAGTTGTGGAAGCATGACGAAATATAACAGAAGCGCAGGTCCTGGGTTACTAGCTTGTGACAGTAATTAAATGAGGTACTTAACTCCTGTCCTAAGGATCTAGACTTCTGTAACACTATACCTATAGGGAGTACTATAAATGGAGCAGTAGCCTAATTTGGTGGTGTATGATGTGAATACCTGGAACCATGCGAACAGCTCTTCTAATGGTGGCAGCAGGTGGCTTGAGATACGGGTCTTTGGACAGCGGTAGCACCTGGCTTGAGATACGAATTAGGAACTGAAGTAACATCTCAAGGGACACCAAACTAGAAGCATGAAGAGCGCCCACTCCTAGGACACCAATTTGGAAGTTATACAAGAAACGAATTAGAAGTAATATGATAAGTGTTAAGGGGTGGATTATAACTGGTAGACGTTGTACAGTAGTATATATAGCGGGGTATATATGAATTAGTAAATACATTAAGGTTCTGAGTTAGATCAGAATTTAGGGTGCTTCTTGATAGAGATACCTGAGGATTTCCATCTCATATGTGAGATGGTGCAGGCGGTTGCATCTGGGCGCCATATAGGATAGCCGGGTGAGGTCATAATGACTACTTAGATAGGTTAAAAGTATATGTAAATATATGTAATGTTCACTTAAATAAGTAATAAAGTTAATGACAAAATCGTCGAAGTTGAAAAAAAAAATAAAAATAAAAATAAAAATTATATTAAAAGTAGCTTAGAGCTTTCTTTATTTGATATAAAAACTATAAATATATAGTTAAAATTGAAAAACTTTTATATGTAGACAAAATTAACTTTTAATTTTGATATATCTACATTTTTACACTGGCCCATATTTCATATAACAATATTTATATAACTCTATTAAATAGTCATTTAGTTGGCTAATATCAATTATCAACATTAATCACTATATGTGTTTTAATTAAATTTTACTTTTTATATATATAAAAAAAGCCAATTTGAAAAAAGTAATCAAACTTTAAATTTTTAATATAGATAAAAAAAGCCAAATTTGCTTTTTTATATATATGGGGGTGAGTTAATAAAAATCAAGCAAATTTTTATAATAAAAATTTTTATAACTTTAAACAAGAATAACTTAACAAAAACTTGACAAATTTTAATAAAAAATTTTTTAAATAATTTTTACAAACTTGTAGAATTAATTTAAAAAAATTTTTATTAAATTTAATTAAGTTTTTGTTAAGTTATCCTTGTTTAAAGTTTTAAAAAAACTTATTAAAAAAAATTTGCTTGATTTCTATTGACTCAACCCTATATATATATAAAAATGGCCAAATTTCATATTTAATTATAAAAATGCTATAACTTTAACCTGTTATAACTTTTTTATAAATAGATTTAAAAAAATTTTAAAAACTTGAAAGTGTTTAGCTTGCCTTGATTTAAACATTTTAATAGTATTTTTTGTTTACTAATATTTTTAAAGAAGGATTAGCAATTTAAATTTCATCAATTTTATTTGTTGGGACTAGATTGTCTGACTGTAGAGTTTTAGCAGCATCCAGTCAACCACATTGCCATTTAATAGGTCTTCTCGTTACCCTGGGCTTATCAGCTAAAATATTTCTATATAACTTATCTAGTACAACTCTCTCTGGTGGATTCTCCCGAAGTTCTTCTTCAATGTACTCATTATTTACGTAGTACCCAACACGAACAAATTCTTGATCATTATAAGAACATGTAATGATAATAACAGTAACGTCCAAGATTTCGCTTTGCGGTATCCGATCAGGATTTGGCGCAGGTGCCTATAAAAATTAAATAAATTTTAAATTTCAATCCCAAAAGATACATAGAAGTATTCCAGCAATAAATAATCAATACCTGGAATATAAACTGATTAATTCCGGATGGAACGGGTCCTACCATAATGCAATCAAGAACTTGATCATATTGGTCACTTTCTGAGGAGCCGACGTAGATAATTTTCCATTCTAAGTCTATTATTAATTCAAACCAACATGTTAACTTGGATTTTTATTAATTTCATGTGTAGTATCATTAAATAGTTCTTCTAAGGAATTATGAACAGAATCCGATTCTTGATATTCGTAAGATAAGGTGAGCCGGTCGAGCTTTCTAGAAACTTACCGTCTGGTAGTGGAGAAATGCATTCAAAAGTAATTTCAAATTGATAGTCTTCGGTAAAAAGAGTTGGATTATTGAGAACTCGGATGTTAGTAATATTGACAATACTCATTTCAAATAATTGGGTTATGTTGATAAACGCGACTTTTCACAATAAAAATATGCTGACTTTATACACTCGAATTTGGATAGGACAGATAGCGGAGACCTCATGTGATTTAAAACCAATTAAAATAATTAACGTTAGTGCGGTATCATGTGATATACGATCTTGAATTTACAGATATAGCGTTAGTTGAGAAACCAACTAGTTCTGTAATTGACAACCAATTAATCGACTATGAAAATTCTAAAACAACTAAACAAACTGGTTCAACCACAACTAATTGTTGTTGAAGCGAAGACTATTTAGGGGATTACGTAATTTCTTTTTATTAGAAGGCCAGACCCTTCTAGATGATCAAATTAGCAGCCAATAATAATATTCATATGCGACGTATACGTAGAAGGTGATGGACTTTCCCTCTTAAAATTACGTAATAAGCGGTGCTTCCCTTATATATCATCTAATTTTTAGAGAGAACTATAATGCTAAAGCGGGTTTAATTTAATATACAGTTAACTCTCCATAAGTACAAAAGTACTGTACATCAGTTCGTGTAACCCTATGTACATTCTTAAAACTGATAAAAACATAAAATCAGATGGTTGTCGTCAAATTTGCTGTCGATTCATTCAAATTTGACAGTGTTAAAATTCAAACGAAGATATCTTGACTACCACCTTCAATGAAATTTTTTATTTTAATTCTACAGGCATGTAACGATAAAATGAAGTTCAAATAAATTGATGCACGAAAAAATTGCAGTTTTTATTTATTATTAAATTTTAAAAATCAAATCGTACAGTTCTGGCGAGTAACTTTAGCCTGTGTCTGGTATCTGTAAAACCCTATCGGCCAGTTAATAATCCCTTCCATCAGTTCAATCCTTAGCAGGACTAAAATATCAATTTTTTTAAATAAATCCGGATTTAAAATACTTAAACCCGGTTCCAAACTCTAGGTCAGTGTTGTGCCGTTTATTTAGTATTAAAAAATTTTGATGCATATTTATATATACAAAGCGGGAAATTATTTACATTCTCGAGCACAACGAGAAGCCAATATATGTAATATACGTATTTATGCTTGACGAATGTGTTTATCTAACCATTCTAATATCTTATGCGTATCACTAATGGGAATAACGAAACCTTCTGATAAAGGGATAAAATCATTTATAGAAATGTTATCATTTTTTATGTCACCAGACGTGACTGACTCAAAAAACTTCTCCCATAGCGGTATTCGTTTTAAAGAAGTAATTCGAGAATCCAGAGATGTATCGTATATAAAAATTTTGTTTTCTTCTCTCACTTCAATATCCAATCCGTACTTTGAAAATTGTTCTGATGTGAAGGAAGGTAACATCCTGGAAATCACAAAATTTATTAATATAGTACATAAAAATATATATATCCATTTTAACTGACATTACCGTTGTGACCATATTAAACGAATATGATCAGATGATCGAGGAATGATATTTAAAACACGCTTTCCTCCATTATCCTTTTCAAGCGCATCCAAAGCAGAAAACAAAGGAGTCGTCCGTGTCAATATCTTAAAAGTAATAATAAAAATTTTAATAGGACATTTAAGCATACAAATGATTTTTGATATGCAAACTTACAGAGATTAAAGATCCGATGTTACATTCATAATTCAAAGTATTTTGAAGATATGTACTTATCCGTTGATGTGGATTCCGACTCTTTGTTGTACTAGTAGTACCGAATTGTAACGAATATCGGTCAGACTTACAGCTAATGTCAAAAAATAAGTCCTAAAAATAATGAACAATCGATTTGATATTTGTTAAACATATCTAAACCCAAATATAAAACTAAATTTTGAATAGTCCACACCATCTAAATATCGCATCACATGGTATCAACGACTCAATACGATTAATCAAATTGTGATATCATGAGAAATATAACTCTTGTGATATTTAAGTGGAGCAACTATATAAAGTTTGATTTCCCGAAATCCAACCTGTGAATATATGACTTTAACGGTCTGAAAGTTAAAGGGTGCGACTTTGATGGTGGTATCTGCCCACGTAGGTGAGCTTACTTTATATATAAAAGGAGATATTCAGTAAATTTGCCTAGTAAACTTACGGATAACAAATCAATTACCTTGAGAGGCAGCTTGACAAATCATTACTATATTTATCCAATCCCTAAGGAAGTTTTTAATATAGGTGTCTTCAGCATCGTATTTAAAAGATATAACTTGAGAGATGGGATCGTATCTAATGTTGTCTAATATATTAAAAATAAAAATATCAAGTTGAGATCTATATTTTAAGAAATAACCAGCTTATGTTAATAGCATTATTTCCATGTTTAATAGCTAAGAATAAGCCTATAATACAATTTAATGTGCTATTGCCAAAGGATGAAACATTATAATACTATTTATCTTTATTAAAAAGTTATGTTATATACAAACCTAATAAATCGGCATTATTTATTGTTGGCAAGCTATTTGGTTTTATACGTGTTGTCATTATTACCTATACAAGTGAGTAAATTAATAAATAAATAATAAATGGGTGACGCCAAAGAAGGTTTTAGGAACCAAATCAGATAAGGTGATAAGTTTAATTTGGCATCACTTAAATAAATAGTCACCAAATAACAGAATAACGAAATTGTCACTAATAAATACCGAACACGTTGTAGTTGTTAATAAACGAGAGCCAACGAATCGAATATAAATGTCCCCAAAAATATTCAAAGCCTTATCCATTGCTATTGGCATTTTGGCTAATAATGATTTTCCATCCATTTTCAAAACTGGTATAGACGAAGTTAAAGATATGGAAGAATCAGGATCGATAAACTCGAGAGATTTTTCAGGCTGTATAGTAGTAAATGACAAGTCATGCAACTTGATCTGTTTTTTCATTCTAAGGTAAGATATACGAGCACTTCACGGCATGAAATTATAATTGTGTCAAATGAGATTGGCGTATAAACCTAAATGAAATAAAACAAAATCTTAACTTACCGACAAAGAGCAGAAATCCTGGCAAGGTGTACGATTTCATATTCAAGCCTATATGAAAGTTTATAAATTAGATTTAATAACGTTGTCATTTTCACCGGACAAAACTATTTAAAAGATAACCTACCCGGCACTAGCTCTCACGAGCTTTCTTTTTCTCGATGATGAATCTTCTGCTTTAACACCAATTTCTTCAAAACTCCGCTTCCCACAATGGGTTCCGTCATTCACAGCTTGTTTTTCTTGTAATTCTAAACTTGTTTTATCTGTAAACCTATTTTTTTCTTCTAGGTATATTTGTTCAATAGACGACAGTTTATGAGTAGGATCTTTTGCATCCTTTACCAATATGTATCTTTTGACTGGTGGTTCTCGGCTAAAAAATTGCAAGAGCCCAGTTAACAAAGCATAAGCATATACACGATTACTAATTTATAAGTACCTCAGAGTGGTTAACCAGTAATGCAAACTACCATCATTCATAATCCCACAGATTAGAAAGTGATCATCATATTGTGGGAAGCGAAAATACGCGAGTTGTTTTGTGCGCAGTTGATCAAGATCTTCCTTACGTAATATCAGATCACGATGTATATCAAACTGCAAATATTTAGCTGCCTTCTCAATTTGGTCAATTCTGGATCTGAATTTTAGGTAACAAAGTGTATGAACAAAGTTATCGTCACTTGGTGCAGAGCTGATTTTATCTTCACACATTCTAATAAATTCTAAATCCAATTAAAAACATTAAAAAATAATTGCCGACAAATTTAGTAATACTAAGTTCATGCTATTGAAAAACGAGCTCACCTTCGTCATCAATTTTATTGTTTTCTTCAATTATAATTCTGCCACTCCTAATATCTATACTGATAGTAACATATCTATCTCCAAAAAGCCATACACGCAATGACGAGATCTTCAAGAATCTCTTTGCAACATTGTCAGAAATTGGTGAATCATCGGAGATAAAATCATCAGGAAATTCTTCATTATTCAAAAGAATGAGATCAGAAATATATAAAAATATTTTGTATAAATATATGAATTCACGTCAATATGTGATAAAATGTACCAACCTTGACAACCTTCTATAATTTCTAAATCCTCCTCTGAGAACACACTCTTAGCAAGTTCAAGCGATGATAATGCATTTTTAAAACCCAAAATAACCGATTCAGCATGTTTTTGTGCAACAGATAGTAAAAGATGTTCAAAACTCAAATTGGTCGGATCCTGATGGTCAAATAAAGCCAATAAATATTAAGTTTCATATGAACCAACAAGGCTTGTTAGAGCAAGTTAAACAAAGATTTTTGATACGAATTATTGATGTGCCGAACAAATAAACAGTAAATTAAATGAACTCACAAATTCCCAATCCAAAACTGTCCACTCAGCGTTTTCATCCGCTAAACCGGTCCAACGAGCTTGCAAGAATTTATGTGGATAATTTAACCCACGCCCGTCGTTCAAGACGCCGGGTTTGATACGCGAAGTATCAGTTAACCAATGTGACTTTGAAAGCATTGATCTTGACGAATGTATTAAGGAACGCTTCGTTATATTTTCTGCAATCGTTATTTCAATTGCGTCGCTTTTAACTCGTCGAGCAGTTTGGTTCTGTGCTGTTTATATTAAAATAAATTATATTAGAGTTAATCTTTAATTTTTTTCCAATGATATATGTATTTCGTTTATGTACCTAAATTAGAACTAGACTTCACACTTCTAAAAGTAATGAAGAGATTAATGACTTTATTTATAAAATATATAATACATAATAATATGATTATTTGAACATTACTAGCCTCCAATAATAAACCCTAAGAAAAGTACGTGGCTCTTCAAGGTGGGTTCCATCCGTTTCCAAAAATAAGTTGTTTGCCCATCTTGTCCCTGCCAAACGATACGCCTACGAAGTCAAATAATTATTTATATGATATATGAAATGAATTTAAGCTTATAAGTAAATAACTGTAAATCAGGTTTACCTGCTGATAAAGTATATCAAGCTGCATATCTAAACAGAATGTGTGTAAAAAATCATATAATTCCATTAAGGGAAGGGGTCTCGCGGGCTTTAATGTAGATTGCTCCGTATTTCCTGGAACTCTCGATAAAGGCAGCTCCGGCAGTGGTGGATTTTTTGGATATAGTCTAATTTGAGCGTTTTGAATAACAAAGTTGGTTTGTACTTCATGCAAAGATAAATCAATATCTATAGCGATTCAAAAATTTAATTTATAATTTATTACAAAATTAATTATATTCAGAATTATAAGGCTTATAATTACCACTATAGAGCCTATCAGTAGCAGATTGGATTAGAAATTTAAGGTCTACTATATGCCAAGGGAAATTTGGTTTTTGATCAAGTAATGTCAACACCACCTGTTTATTCGTAATTATCAAATAAAAATTAACTCATTTTGAATTAATTTTATTATTGAAAAAGAACTTTTAAATCCAATCACGTACTTTAAATTCTTTTTCGACAAAAAATGTTATCCTTCCATTATCCACATGATATTTTCTCATAGCTGGAGGAACCACTTCTTCAGTTAACATTCGTAATTCAATTACACTATTCAGTTCCTCTAGGGCTTTTTTGACCTCATTGTCTGTCAAGGGCTTCGGAGCAAGGTACTCCTTTATAGATTTATTTTTATAAATTCAAAATTCTTAAATTAATTTCTAGAATAGAATAAATTTATAAATTCAAGTACCTCAATAGCCTTTGGAAACCTTTGGTATCTTCCTGTAGTAAGTACATCGATAGCTGTAATTATATCTGGAGAGCGTACACTAAAAAATTTAAGCAAATATATAAAATATCAACAAATTAAACATCTATAATGACAAAATATTCCACGAATTGAATAGTATCATTACTAAATTTCATAATATAAAAAATATCCGTCTATTTAGGTCAATACCTCGTACTTGGCATGAAATTTGCGTGAACTTCAAGGTTTTGCTCCACAATATTAATTCTTCGTTGCTGATTTTGAACTGCCTGATGATAAGACTATACGAAAAGGAATAATTATTAAGTATTAATCTCAATTGCCGCCAAGTAATAATAAGTATGAAACTTATAAAGTTATAAATAAGCTAATTAAAAACATAGCGCAATTTACTTCGCAGTTTTTAATAATATCGGCATGCTCAGACCATTTAACAAGCGACTGAAGCTTGAGAAATTGTTGGCGTTGTGGTATTAAATAATTCAACATGAATGATTTTCTTCGATCGCCGTCTCCTGACTCGATTTGCCTGCAGTGGCAAATAAATTGATTTGTATTAATATAAAGAAAAAGATAATATATAAAGTTTTTAAAACTTACGTTATTTTGTGTATAAAGGCAATAAGTTTATCTCGAGAGTCACAATTGACAGAAGCAACTATCTCCTGAAGGGGCTTCCATTCTTGCGGGCTAGATGCGTACGGTCTGCTTATCTCTTGATTAGCCATAATAACAAAGTATTTTTTATATATTATTTAGCAAAAATAATTAATAAAATTATGAGATTTATGGTTGTATGTGGCTCCTCAGAATCTCTATCAAGGAAGCAACAACTAGCTCATAAATTCTTTGAAGAGACTGAGGAAGTGTGAAGGTCTCAGAACGCATCGACAGTAAGCGAATGTGATTTTATAAACCCGATCACTCGTCCAAGTTATCACCACGCATAATTGAAATAATAAAAACGGAAATGATGTACAACAACAAAAAGTATAAATATGCCATTGCTTCATTTCCTTTTCTTCTATATAAGTGGTACTCTTCTCTAAATAAATACCTAAGAGACAAAGTTAGAGGGATGGCAGAATCAAAGAGAGTGGTGTATGAAAAAACGGCGGTATGTTGTATGGACAAATGTTAAACGACTATTATGAAAGCCTTTTAACTTTTGACTTTTTAAAAAGCATGACACTAGCTTCCGTCGTACTTGGGACAAAGAAGAATTCGAACGTCGCGCACGTGAACGAGCACGTCAAGAGCGCGAGCAACAAGAAGACGAAGACCGAAAACGTAAAGGAATAAAACCAAAATATTCTGAAAGTTCAATAGACGAGCCTCCGCGAGATTTGCTAAGAGCTCGTACTGAGAGAGTCATTCTAGATGCAAATCTAAATAAAACACAGGTTGTACAATCGACTAGTATTGCTTCAAAACAGCCAGGCTTTTATTGTAAAGAATGTGACTGTGTTGTCAAAGACAGTGTAAATTATTTGGACCATATTAACGGAAAGAAACGTAAGCCTCTTACAAAGTTAGATTCTTTTTTTTTCTAAATTGGGGCTAAAGGAAGATAAATTATCTAATTTTTAGATCAACGAGCCCTTGGAATGTCAATGAAAGTCGAGCGTAGCACCATAGATCAAATCAAAGCAAAGTTCGAACATTTGAAAAAGAAAAAGGAAGAAGAACAACAAATATATGGTTTGTATTCCAATCACGGATTTATGACCGATAATTTACAACATTAGTAAACTTTTTATTTCAGACCTTGATGCACAGATAGAAAAGGCTCAAAAACAGGAAGAAGAAGAGAAACGAAGAAAAAAAGAACGTAAAAAAGCTAAAAAGAAGAGCGAATCAAGAAAAAACGATAAAGAGGAAGATGTCGAAGATGATATCGATCCAGAAATGGCAAAATTAATGGGGTACGGTAGAGTAGTCGAATTAACATTCAATATTTGTCCATCAGTACTGATTTATGCCTTGCATAATTATAGGTTTGGTGGATTTGGATCGACTAAATCTTGAAAAAAAAATTTTTATCAAAGAGGGAGAGCTCTTTACAATTTTATCCTAAATCAGGGTGGCTTGACTAATTAGTGTTTAGCTTTTTTTCCGAGTTCAAGAAAAGCTATATTTTTCTATATAGAACCTTTAATAAAAACATTTTAATAAAAAAAATTTTCTTTAATAATTTTATTAAAATATTTGTTTTTTTATTATTAATAGTACATGAATCATGAAAAATTAACCACAAAAACAACAGTAATGTTACGAAGAAAATACTGCTAAGATTACAAACCGACGAAAAAATCGCCACTAAAATAAAGGAAAGTATGCCATTGAAAAATGCAAAGAAAACATGCAGAAGTTTAGAACAGATGCCACTGAAACAACGAAAGAGAATGAAGGAAACTTCGCTAATATAACGGAGGTTACGCTAAACTTTGAGAAAAAAGGATCGTGGCAGACTGTGATTCCAAATCATTTCATGTACACCGGGTGTGATGCGGGGACGCAATTTTCGAAATTACTTTTTTTGAAACCAGGGACCCGTAAAAACTTGGATTTTATTTATAAGATTTAAAATTTATATAAATAAATCCAAATTTTCCAAGTCCCTGAAAAACAGAAGTTTTTGAAATTTCAATCATATTGATTGAAATTTCAAAAATTATTTCGAAAAATTACCGCGTTTTTGGTGTGACGATAAATAATTACTTATAGATCAAATGCCAATTTATATGTAAAATTTGGCAAAAAAGTAAATATAAAAAATAATTTTAGATATGGGATTTATATTTTTTAGATTTTTTGAATTTTTTTGCAAAATTACAAGTTTAAATGTCAAGTAGTTAGAGAAGAACCTTGAGCTAAAGTTTTAAATATCAAGTAGTTAGGAAGAACCTTGAGCTAAAGTTTTTTAATTTTTTGTTTTTTTATATACTGTGTTCTTTAGATCAAATAAGTGACTCACTTTAATTAACAATATGATTGGTTAAAATAATTTTTAAAATTGGCTTGATAATTTCAAAATCAAATTTATTGTTACACAACATATTAAACTATACATTTTAGCATACAAATATGTATACTAAAATAATTATAAAAATCTTTACTATAAAGGAGCTGACAGAAAAGAGCTCAATAGGGTTCTTCTTTTTTTTTTTTTCCCTTTCTCTAGAACAATTACAAGTTTTAAAGTAATCAATTAACTCCTTGTATATTTTTATGCACCTCTTGCATCATAGGAGGACATTCATATGATTGGTTAATTTTTGGCGATCTACCCGTGATTGCCCGTGATAATTAACCAATCAAATTACATAACATTTATATCATTTAATACTAGAAAACGAAGAAAACTTCGCTTAAAGAA